CCCCAAAACCCCAAAACCCCAAAACCCCAAAACCCCTAATTGATCAATACATAGTTTTGCGTCTAAATTGTAATTCAATGAATTAAATGTCAATCATCAGAATAGTCGATCACTTTGTCTAGTCCAAAATCATCTGTGCCACTGCCCTCAAGTCTTCATTTGCTTTCCCATCTTCATCAATGTTAGACTAGTCTCCCTTCAGTACTTCTTTTTGTGTCTTAGGCTCTACGTAATCGATAACTCCACCTTAATTTGCAGAGTCATCTTTTGCTTTATCCTAAGGTAACTGTTTCTGAATGAACTACTCAATAAGTTTGACTCTCTTAGCGTTGCCATTCATATCAAGGTGCATATCTCGCATTTGCTGCATTATTGCTTCGAAGTTCGAGTGCATCTTGTCGTGGATTTGAACTATTCTAGCGTTTAGGTTCTGCCCTGTCTCAAAGACCTCATTCTTCAAGTCAGCAATGCTTTCTTGCACATCGTCCTGCTTGTCTTTCTGATGATCAACTGGTTTCCGAACAAAGATGTAGCGTGGGAAATTCTGAGGGTCTGGTTGAGAGGGCTTGTGGCCTCTAAACAAGTGGAGTTCACTCTCATAGATCATTTGCGCCTTCACTTTGTAGGATTGGGCAGTGATATTAGTCATGATTTCCTCGTAAGACGATGAGATTACCGCAATAATGAAGTTCATGAAGATCACATTGAGGATGATGACTGCCATCATCCAAATGATCCAGGTAAAGATTACCAGGTACCGCTTTTGCTCTGAATAGTGCTCCACTTCGAAATCTCCAAGCGACAACTTGATAGTTGAGGTAAAGTAGCCTGCGATATCCAGTCCGTTGTATCCCTCTATGTACTCCCCCTGGAAGAGTATAGTAAAGATAACGCTGAACATAGCCAAGAAAAGCAACCAAAAAGTTAAGAAGTACCGGACAGAGTTCAAAGAGTGCCAGATCATAGTGACCAGGTAGCTGAAGTTCTCGTTGATTCTCAAGAAGAAGTTGATCTTGTTGAACACTATGAAGATAAGAATCACGTAGATGATTGTTACTCCCGCATACCAGATTGAACAAGCGTCAATGATTGTAATTGTAGGATAACCTATGATTAACAGTGTATCTCCAAGATTCCACAAATCCTTGAAATAACCCTTCTGAAGCACTGCAGAGCATATCTCGTAGTATGCAAAGTACACTATAAATAGGCATGCAACTGCTTTAATAGCAATCAGCGAAGCTAAATCCCTTTTATCTTCTTGCAAATCGTTGTTCTCATCAAATACCTTGCTGAATGATGAGTAGTAGATGTCAGCAAGGAAAAAGCAAAGAAAAGCGAAGAATATGGCCGCCCTTAAGTAGAAGAACTTTTTAGCGTACTAATTCCATTTGAAATCTATGATTGCTTAGAAGGCTTTGAAAGTGAATAGCTAGATCTCTCCACTGTTGTTAAGTTACCTAATGAAAGGATTTAAGTCATCTTCCATAGTTCGAGGCAAGTATACCATAAAGTATTCAATAGGGTGTTTTTCCTAGGTTTAAGCTATGTTTTGCCTGCCACATCTTTGAGCTTAGCCAAGAGATGTTACTATCTGAGATTTATAGAAGCTAATAATGTCATCCTGACTTCTTTAGTCAATACCTTTCAAAAGTAGATCATCATGCGGTGACAAGTGATGAAGCCTATCGTCATCAATCTTCTTAAAGCATGAGTCTAGCTTCATGTACTTTGAGATGTCTATTCTGCTCTTGATGATGTAGTTGATGTTTTAGTCTAGGATCATTTCAAATGTAGGAGGCTACTGGTACGACAAGGCAATGTCAAGCAGCAATTCAACGCATATTGTGTTATTGGCTTCTCTTGCCAAATCAATTGGGTTCTTCCCTTTCCGGTTATTGTAGATCAAAAGTGGGATCGCAATTCCTTACTTCTTCATAATCTCTAATGAAGTTGCAAATGCTCTCAAAACCTTGGGCTTTAGATTCACATAGTGCAAGAAACTATCGAACTAAGGATAATTAATCAGCAGCTCTTAAGGTATTTCAGATGAAAGTATTGCAGCTAACTTGTTGGAGTCTTTGCCCACTAGTTCGACAAAACTTTGAATTTGGGCTTGAGTGTAGTGAGAGTTTATGAATCCAAACGGTACTGTACTTTCTTCCATAAAGAACTCGATTTTATCACCAGTGAAATTAGTTTTGGCCACTAAGTTACAAAGCTCAGTGCTGATAAGATAATCATAGTGGCATAAACCTTCAAAAGTCTCGTTATCTGGCTTTTCACCTAGTTGCATATAGTAGATAGTATCACCGAAATCGCTGATGCCGAGAGTTAGCTCATCATTGAATCTGTATACTCTGCTAAAATTGTACTGTTCTAGACCTATGAACTAGTACTGAATTGTTTATGACCCATTTCTGATTTTGACGATATTAAGCTGGTCAGAAGAGAAGAAAACAATGTAGTCATCTATAATCTTAAGATTTGTTTTGATGTCCCAGTCTACGATGATCTTCTTAAGGTGTTTGCAACTCTTATCTCTGGCAAATATCTTTAGGGCTGTTACTTGGCCTTGTTCCTCCTACAGTTTTGAAACGGTTACGAAGTACTTCGTATCGAACTTTGAAAACATTATTTCTTCACCTTGGCCTAGTACTAGCAGAGGAACCCAAGCTTGGTTCTCCAATACTAGTATTGAAGTTGGAGTCCTGACATACAAGGTAAAGTTTTCTTGAAAGTACTGCTCAGGATCGGAAAAGAGCGCATTATTGCCTTTGACTTGATTCCTGGCCTTGTGGATTTTAACATAGTTCTCTGGGACTTTAACGATCTCTTTAAACTTAAACGAATTAGTCGATCTATTTCTTCTTAAGTTCGATTTCTCCTACTCCTGGCTCTCTTTAGCGACCTTGTAATTGTAGCCAATTACTGGATTTTCAAGAGTCTTTTTGTCATTATTGAAGTTTGAAGCTACCACGAAACAGTAAAAGTCCTCATCTCGCCTAAAGTAAGTGATCACCTTTTACCCCTTTAAAGAAGGATTTTCTCCCTTAAATAAACTGTCATTCTTAGAATCTCTCTAGTTGTAGACCGATATTTCTTTGCATTAGCTGTGGAACTCCCTCTTAACAACTAACTAGATGCCTTCTTCTACTCTGAAAGCCTTTAAATCAGTTACATTGCCAAAGACACTCAATGGGTAAACATAGGAGTTGGTATGAATGTCAAACAGAAGGTCTGCCTTCTTAGAATTCTCAATGTAGTGGACATCTTAGAATGCTTTAGTATACCTTGCTTTTCGATGCAAACAGTGAACTTAGAACTGTTCTCTCTTTTGAAAGAATGGGAGTTTCTCTAGATTTTGCTTAGATTCCCTGTCGTCGTAGAATACGAGGTTGTTTTTGCTAAAACCAATAAAGTTAAATTAGTCTGCAACTAGGGAACCAGACTTGTTACGAATATCCAAGGCCAGCAGCTGATAACTTCGTTTGTTTTCTGCTTTGTTGGTGTTACAGTTTACTACTATGAAAGCTTACTCATGCTCCTCAGCTATGAATTTGTAAAGTCCCCCTCCTTCAGTCAACTTGTAGGAGAAAAGCTGTGTCAGAGGCTTTCCTGGCGAGAAATCGAAGACTTTGATATCCTAAAGACTCTTACCCTATCAAGGAAACTGGTAAATTCTGCCATTCATGAACGTAGAATCCCTCATGAAGGAGAGGGTCTTAGTCTCTTCGTAATCTTGCTCAAAGAAGAGGAACTACTTTTGACTGCAATAATTGAAAGTCTTAATGCAACTGCTTTTAGAGGGGACATAGTTAGCAGGAGTTACCTCCTCCAGTTTGTAAGTTTTCATGAAGGTGTATCCTTTGAAGGTAAGAGCGTCACTTTTCAAGAACTGCTCAATATCAAGCAGCTTTGGAGGGTTGAATTCCTTCCTTGGGAAAATCATACCTCCGTTTTGCCGGTCAAAGTTTAGTTAGTTGCTGACTTCTTTCAGATCCAGATTGATAATCTTGATGAATTTGTAACTATTGAAAAGGCACAGCTTAAAACCGAAGAAGTTCAGTTTTACATGACCATTTTTAATCAAAAGGTTTGAATTATTATAGACCAGAGTGAAAAGGGGTTTGGCTTTCTCTCTTAGAAAGAGTTGATAAACTGTATACACTCCAAAGTGATTCCACTTGTTGTCTTTCTTAAACTCAAGAAGTACATAACTGCCATCTTCAGACACCCCTTCAATGGCGTATTGGTCTTGCAGATCAAAGTGGCCAGTCTCTTTCATCAACAAAAAGTCAAGGCGCTTAAGAATGCGAGAATTGTCTGAGTGTTTGTAGAGGTAAAGGATAAGCTGCGTCTTGTTTGTGTTCAGATAATGATTGCAGACCTTGTAGTCAGCAAACCCGTCTAGTTCAATTTTCTGAGGAGTGAGAGTGGCAATGGTCTTCATTTGCTCGTAGGCATCTATTTGCTGTTTCAGGCTGAGACTATCGAGGGCAGCCACTTTGGCTTGGGAAGAGGAAGAGAGTAGTTAGGGTTGGACTGGAATCTGATTTTGAGATTCTTGTTAAGTACTCATCTTTAATCTAATTAGATAAATTATTAGGCCAACAAAACACTAATCATTTATTTATCTTAAAATAATAATTAATTAATTCGTGAGCTCTATTTATATTCAAAATTTTAATTATGTCAGTTGAGTATTGGAATAAGCACTCAGCTGTAGACAGGATTTCTAAGACCCTAAACGATGCAGATATTGAGGCAAGAACAATTGACTTGAATAAATACTTCATAAGGAATGAATCATTCCACAAAAAAATTAAAAATAATACCTTACAATGGAGATTTGAAGTCTCAGGATGTTTAAAGTTCTTTTAGTTGAACATGTCCAACAAGTTGAGCGAGGATGATCTGGCTAGGAGGGATTTTTTACTCCGTACAGTAGATAATGAGATAGCATGTGCTCCGGTATATAAGACTTTTATCATCGGTCAACACGTGATAGGGTTTCTCTTCTTATTGGCAACTCATAAACAGCATAGATTAAAGAAGTTTGCTAGATGTACTCTGGGTTAATATACCCTCGCTTTAATGGAAATGATTAAAGTCAGACAACTCAAGGGAGGATTTATATTAAGCAAGTGTATCACTGATCTTGTTAGCTTCTATAGAAAATGCTCTTTTAGTCTAGCTGAAGCACCATTTAGTTCATGGGCAGAGAGGGGAACTAAAATTATGTGTTTTGAGTTAACCATGGAAGACAATGATGAGAAGGAAAAAGTTCCTGAAAAAAGTGCGGTAAAAGAAAGAGCAGCAGCAATTAATCATGTTAATAGGAAACAAATTGTAGCAAAGAAGGTTAAGAAACCATTACGAGAGAAGAGTGCATTTGATGATGGTATGTCATCATTTTTATCGGATGCCAATGATGTTGGGCTTGCACCCGCTAAGAAGGCCAAGAAGGAAAAGCCAGTTCAAATTGACACTTCCAGTATCAAAGTTGCCGCCATAATTAGGAAAGCACCAAAGCCAAGAGCTAAACCTTAACTTAAACGCAAGACAAAGGCTATTGTGGATGGTTCTGGTAGTGATGAGGTAATGAGTGATGGGGACTCAGTCGAGTCTAAGAAGACAACCAAGTCTGCGAGCCGTTGGCTCGACAAACATTTTTTCTCTGGAAATTGTGGTGGTAAAATTATCAGCGGTAAGAACTGGCCCTATTCACATCGATCGCAAGCACAGAGATGGTAAGGTGCAATATAACCATTGTATTGAAGTTAACTGCGTACAATGTGAATAAGGTAAGTTCTATTACTTTTTACCCACTGCTCCTACTTTTTTACTCACCTTATTTTTAAACCTTTATTTTATAGGGCCATCTAAACCTGTACCCATTAGATACTACACATGCAAGGAGTGTGATGAAGAGAGACGATATGACAGGTTTCCTGCTAAAGACAGATCTGTGTGTGTGTGTATTGTCTTTATGGAAAATATTGTAGAGGTTCCATTAAAAGACTCGAAAAAGTAAGTCTCAAGTCCGCCCTTTTGGATAAACTTCCCAAATAAACTACCCAATTACAACTTAAAGATAATGCTAGCGATACTAATAGTGATTATGCCAGTGCTTCTTTATGCCCTACTAGCTCTAAGAGGCAGAATACTGGTATACATATGGCTGTAATAGAGCCGGATCATATTGAGGTTGACATAATGAGACAACTTTAAACGATCGAATAAAGTACCGAAAGCGTCCACATAAATGCGCTCACCATCCAAGATATATGTAGCAAGTTCAACAAAGATTTGTTGATCAAGTTATTCTAAATGACTAACACTCTAATGTTATTGCGTGTATTAACACTGTTTTGAAGAGAGTAGATTCTCTAGATAGTGAATAGATGATCGGTCTACTATGTGCTTCGTTTGCTTTAGGCCACACCTCTTGGGTAAGAGCGACCCTAACATTAAGCCAAATTGAAGGCGCTAAAAGGACAGAAACCTTATCAGACTTCAAGTGGCATATTACCAATCACTACAACGATCGTATTGGTATATGGTGCTCCACATATTGGAACTATCTAAGTGAGGATTAATTCGCGTTGTTAAAGATCTTCAAGAACAGCCCTTCGACTGTTGACGACAGCATCCTTATGATTTCCCTTTGCTCTGCAGTAGACGGTGATGGATAAAAGTATATTGAAGTTGTGTCTCAATTTGTAAGGAATGCTCCAACCGCTTATGGGTTGTTATACGATACAATTATCTCATGTTCTAAGTAAATGAAGCTTAGGTTTGAATAATTTATAAAACTCACCGATGTTCTATAAGATAAGACTTATGCTGCTATTGAATCTATAAAGGATACTCGTTTATAAATATTAGTGGCCAAGTGGAAAGATTAAATCGAACTTGCTCATGCCACTTCCACGGTTATCGACGGCGACTCCATATAGAAGTCACTCAACGAGTTCATCGCCAAGTACGGCAAGCCAGATCCTTAACTTGCTGCTGATCTGTCTATTGCAGGGGATCTCCGCTTCCAATTCTTCACCAAAGTCGTGTTGAACCCTCCTAATTATAAGCAATTTGCAGCGGCCCAGTACTGCATTGGCTTGCTCAAAACTTATCACAGATAAATGTGGTGTGTGCCTTCTGGCTAAGGTAAAGGAAGAATCGAGCATACGCTAGCTGTGTTCGCATTGCTGCTCGGATTCTTAAAGGTCTACATATTCTACTCTTCTAAGTAGCTGTGCGATAGAGATGCTGATGAATTCTCAACCTATCTAGATCTTGTTGAGAAGGATCAGATCCAACATTGCATTGGAATAGACGGCTTAAAGGTCGGTGATAACGAACTCGCAATATTTGACGAAGGCGACGCTATCATGCACAGCGATCCTGACAAATTCAGAGACTTTATATCCAAGTTTTTATATGTCTGCTTCACAGCAACTCCAGATGACTAGGATCATAAGGGTGTAGATATACAAGTCCTTAAAGCCATGACGTTCCCAACCTTTTACTATGTGCTTGATGTTCTTGAGCGAATAGTCAAGTTCGATTTTGACCTCGAGTTACCAACAATACCTGTCACTGAAAAGGCTGCTGAAGTTAAGAAGCTCTCTCAGACTGGGCCTGTTGTTGTCCACTGTACCTCTGTACTGTATGATGAGCTCAAAAAGCTTGATTTAGAGCTGGTAGAGGCTGATGAGAACTTGAACCATTTGATCTTGAGAACCCTCGGTGTGAAAATTAACGACAAGTTCAGAGTTGCAGTGGCTCTCACAACGGCTGCTATAAGAGGCCTTGATTATAGATCCTCCGTTGATGGGATTATGATATCATTGCTACTAGCTAAATCATTTGTGAATAAAAGAGAAGCAATATAGGGTTACTATAGAGTGGGTAGGTTCAATGACAAATGCTATAGAGTCGCCTTTAAGGAAGTGGGCCTGATAGACGCCAAAGCCGAGATTGTATACAAACTCAACGCATCCAAATTTTTATAAGCTCTATCCAGAAAGACCATCCAGATTAAACAGATTAATGTAACAGACCTAGTAGATCAAAGTAAGAAGACACCAGCGGCTGCAAGCAAGAAAACACCAGCAGCTACAGGCAAGACATCACCAACAAGACAAGACAACAATCCCACAACAGGGCAAATTAAGACATCTTATTAAGGGTCAATGGTTAGAAAAAGAACAAATGCGTTAGTACCATAGTTGTTGGAAGAGAGGCAAGGGTCTATTGAACAGACACCCCAGCCTTTATAGTAACAGACAGAAAGATGGCCACTGAGACAGCACCTACTGCATACAAAGGAAAGAGTGCTTTGAGAGGCACAACTATGCGGGCAATGAGCCCTTATGGTAACAACAACAGTCCGGTTATGAGTGAAAAAAAACTTAATAAAAAAATAATTATCAATAACAAACTTAACATACACTGTTGTTTCTCCTTTTTCTCTGTTTCATAAAACAAAAATTATGTCAATAAGTCATAAATTCGCTTGGAAGGACGATTTTTTCTTGTTTAATACCTTGGACAATCGATAGTTAGTTGCTTGAGCCCGCCATTTCCATTTAAATTTAAAACTAATTGGGTATGCTGTCTGACGAAACAGTAAATCGCAAAAAAGTCAGCCTCCTGATACTTTTCCGATACCCAAAGGGACACTTTTTGGCACCTCAAATTCAATTTAGGGCACTTTAAGACTACCAAACATAGTGATATAGGGTCATTTATGTATCACTTTAGGGTCATTTATGTCTTTGGGTTTTGGGTCAAAATCTTGAACCACGAGAGAAAGTTTTACTACTTCGATTTTCTTGAAATTTATACCAAATTAATCTACTTAAAAAATGAGTTCTAGCATGTCTTACCCTTGAAAACTTCCTTGGGACCGCTGGGAGGTGTTTTAGCTGCAGGGACACTCGAAACTCCAGCAAAAGTTTTAACTTGATCATTTTAACTTTATTAAAGAGTTTTATTAAGCTCTTTGATGAAATTCTTAATTTTTAATTAGATTTATTAATTAGATCTCGTCATATTGGGTCTATAAAACCTCGAGGGGTTTTGGGGTTTTGGGGTTTTGGGG